CATGCCACCCATGCCTTACATGCACCCCCTGCCCCACATACCCACCCTCTGCCCCACACACTGGGAGTTGTGGCTTAGAGACAGGGGACAGTGGGTCAGGAGTGAGGAGCACTAGTAGGGCTGGGGGTTTGTGGGTTGGGAGTGAGGGGCACCAGCAGGGTCAGGGGGCTGTTTTCTATTTAAACTATTTACTAGGTTGGGACTGGCCATCAATGTTTACAAATGGGTCCTGGTACAAAAAAAGTTGAAAACCACTGGTTTATAGGACCCATGCTGCTGCACTCTGCTGCATTTATATTGTGTTGCTTAGCTGGGATATCAATGCTTCAGAGAGAAGAGAATCTCAAACAGCACTTTAAACTTGTATGGAGAAAAGCGTTCTCAAGGGATGGAAAGGACATATAATATGACCTCTCTTCTATATCACAAAGGCATTAGTCTCAAGTTGCTTAGTCACCACTGGGCAAAAGGCCACACTTTTGTAGTTGTTGTGGCAATTTTTCCAAGTATGAAACTAGAAAATTCAAGTCAGCTGAAGCACTAAAGCTTTCTCCACGTGCCCATTGCTTGACAAGCTCTTCTACAGTTCACTTTTAAATTACAGTACAGTACAAGAAAAAAGAGAGAAAAACTGCTTCATAAACAGCCAAGTCTAGTCTGTACATAATGAGAATGACTTGCTTTTGGAAAACACTTCAAAACAAATATTGGACAAATCAACGAGCTCTGAATAACAGCAGCATGCATTCTAATGTCTTGATGAGTAAACTGTAGAGCATAAATTCCTGTCCAAATATTATCAGTAGCAGCCCTTTCATGAACTTTTGTGCAACATCAATAGCAACAAGCAATTGATTGATGCTGGAAAATCACAGTTCTGAGATGAACTTGTGATTTTTAAAAAAAATATGGCACTATCATCCGTCTTTCAGCAAAAGGAGAGGGAGAGAGACTGAAAGAAAGAAATTAGAACATACTCATCAGCTAAGAGGATTAGGACTCCAAAAGTTCAGAACAGTTTGAACAATACAGTTTTTAGAACATTTGACTTCATAAGCCTTGTCAACTAAAAGGAGAGGTCAAGAATCCTAATAAGGCAATGGAAAAAAAAACAGAACAAAAGAGAGTTTCCATAAATACTCAGAGAAAAATTCCACTAAAAGTTTCTCCAGATTAGCAAGGATGATAACTGTAGGGAACAATCAGCAGTATAACTGGTTGAGTATTTTCTAATGGAAACCTATTCTGACACAAACCTCTGATTTGATGAAATCAAAATGCTTTGCAGGAATGTAACATTTCAGCAATGCTTTCTATGAAACATTACCAAAGTCATTTGTTTTGATAAAGTCAAAGCTCTTCATTTTGATTTTATCATCTTGATGTATTTGCTTATATAACTAAACATCTTGCATGGAATTAAAAATAATGATAATTAGCAGGCAATTATATTATTACTACCCTGCTAACTCTTGTCTCATTATTTCTCCCATTCAGAATGACAGCTCTATTGTTCCTGCTTGAAGAGCACATCACACATGTTTCTGTCCCTGAATGTGAAGCCAACACATATGATCAAATTAAATCAGCCTGGCTCAAGTACATTTTAGGTAAAAATAGTCAGTGCTCAAATGTGCTTGTTATGTTTATTTGTTGTATTTCTTGCTAATTACATACTTAATCTTTTGTTCATACCATATCATGCCATTTTATTTGGTTTGTAACAATTCTTGGACAGTCAACAAGTAGACCAAATGAATACATTTAAGCTTTGTAAAAACAATGCAGCGCAGGATATGCAAATTAGCTGTTTATGTTCATACTTGGGGTACTTGCATGCAAAACTGAGGTGAGTGCAATTGCATATTTACCTAATTTTGAAAATCCAGACACACATGATTTTTATCATACACCACACCTTGGCCAAGCTCCCCAGCCAGCTAAAGATCTAAAAAGCTGTCATGCCTATCACATTATCCCACAGGTGGGAAACTTGGATACTTTACATCCATCAGCTGGAGAAGTTCTACCAGAGGTGTTTTCAGGCCGTACTCCAAATGAGGTGGTAGAATGGTCTGATCAATGACAAAGTCCTGCAGGATGGAGGCTGCATATCCATCAAATTATTAACAATAAAGGGCCTACTACAATGGGTAGGACACATGGCTTGGATGGATAAGTGATAGGTATATAGGATTCACAGATTCAAGGAATCAAACAGGGCCGCAATGTGAATGCTCCTGCTGTGGTCCCTGCTTGGATGGATGATATATAAATCATCCATCCAAGCAGCCCCAATATGGTGAAACAGTGATGTGTATTGTCCAAGGAAGCTCTTCAAGGACACCCTAAAGAGACATTTGATCAAGTGCAAGCTACTAGTTAATTCTTTTTGAGTTGCCAGCTATAAATAGGAAGCAATGGAATGCCCAAGGTAAGATAATCTTTTGAACAGCAAGAGCAAGCCCTTGGGCAGGAAAGCGGGCAAAGTCAAGAAGGTGTTGGCCACAGGAGTGGTAGCAGACCAACTTCCGCACTGAGCGGCCTGATGAATTCTGTGACAAGAGGTGCCATGGGATGGATCTGCAGACCCAGATTTGACTCCTCCAGTCCCTATGCAGAACTTTTGCTGTTCACTATGCAGGACTCCTAAGACAGCAAAAATGACATCACTACTGATAAGAAAACTACAATAAAAGAACAGAAATATCATAAATGATCTGATCCCAAACTATTTCTTAGTAACATAGGCAGATCAATTCCAAAAATGAGAAGCAACTTCTCATCAGAAAAAGACCCTGGAAAGTCAATATAGCATGACATATACAAAGCAGTAAAGTCTTGTTTGACAGGCTGCAGTAATTGAAAATCACATATATGTCATAATATTCTGTAGTTTACCCCAAATCAACCTAAATTGATTTAAGAAAGGGTTAATCCATTGTAAATGGATTTATGATTGTGATTTGCATCCATTTAAATAGATTGATTTAAAATCAATTTAGTTAAACCAATACAGTATTTAGACTATGCATTGTTCCATTTCCAAAACACTTCAGTGGTTCTATTCTTCAGGCTTTTTTTAAGAGCATTGTAGAAGAGCACCTGGAGTCAGGTGTAATCAACACATCTTGCATGCATACTGCTAAAGAGTGTAAATGGTCTTTCTATGCAGCTTTACTGAGCAGGTTATCTCAGTTCTATGTAAGAATAGCTTAGAGTCTTGTGCTGGAGGCTGCTGTTAGTAAGGGCATAGCATAATGCCGTCTTGGCAACAGATGTCTAAACCCATTTAGAAATCTATGTATGTACTATGCCCACACCAGAATTAAGCCCTAAATGTTGTTACCAAATCCTTCTTAGCTCTAAACTCAGTGAAAACAATGGATTGAATTTAGCTTTTCAAGTTAATTATAATCAAACAGTTGCTATTCATACTTTATTGGAGTTCCTGGAAAAGAAGATTTTAAAAAGAAGGTTAAAATTAAGTTCATAACACTTAACTATGTACCTAATCTGTCTGGGAAAATTCTTATCTCACTTTGCACATTCCTTGGGATCTCTCTAATATTACTGAACTTCATTGCAGAGTAAACAATGTGTAAGCATAACATCGTTACACATACACACAAATGATACACAACTCTATACATTACATACATACACACACGCACTTACATTAATATATAGATACATAAATTATAGATATTTATAGATATATGCACATACACCATTGCATTTATTGCACAAGAATAAAGTTACAAATTTAATTAATAAAAAAGTTGCTGTGATTACTGGCAAAACTGCACCCTGGGAAGTCCACTGCCAAATATGATGGACCCCAAGTGACCTGCTCTATTAAACCTATCTTCAATAATCATAAGTAACCAGGAGTTCTGTAAAGAAGTTTTATACCAGAAACAAACCATATTTTCAGTGGAGGTAAATTGTCATAGTTCTAGTGAAGCCAAAAGAACTATGACAATTTATATAAGCTGAGCAAGTACCCCAAAGGACACAGAAATAAGCTATGTGAGATAAAGCAGGTTAGGGTGCTAGAGCATGACAGCTTCTCTGTGGTAACTTTTGACATGCACACTCTTACCCTGTTGTAAATGAAAACTAACCCACTACATATCTTTCATTCCATTGTAAGACACCTATGGAGTTTAGTTTTAGGATTAGATTAGATGGCAGCTGAATAAGGATTTCAGGGTCTCAGTACTGGATGTAGACACCTAAGCATAGAGAAACACAGTTAGCTGCGTTAGTCTGAAGTCAAGTACAAGGCAAGGTAGATATGCACCTTATAGACTAATCAAAGTAGATATACATACCACAAAAGCTTGTGTTTTATATAGTGCTTGTGGGCTGAAAGTACTAAATGCCTTTTGGAAAGTACTGTTAGGATCCAAGTCTTCTTTTTTTATTTATGTCACCCACACAATGACCTCTTCACATCTGATGATACTTGCCTGAGATCAAACAGACATGGAACACAAAGTAATATCAAAGAGGCTTTTACAGATCACTCATCAGTAATCACAAGACAAGCACCCATGTATTCTGCCTGTATGCGGCCATGCAAAATAGCATATTTATCAGAATTGAAGACAACCCTAAGTTTAAGAATTATGTTTGTTATAATTTTCCATGTATAGCATCCAATTATAGGGGACCATCTTAAATTCATCCCCACCCCCACTGCAGCTGAGAAAGCAGTGGTGAGGATAAGATGGCAGGGATAAGGCAGTGGGGGAAGTAGTAAGAGGGCAAGCTGAGGGAGGAGATAACAGAAGAGGTGACCTGTTGGTGAGACCTGTTGGTGGGTCTGAATGAATTCAACTCATCAGCAGGGCTGGATGAGCTTCATCCCAGAGTCCTGAAGGAACTGACAGGGATCTTGGAGCTCT